TTGAACCCTTCAGTTGGAATATAATCCTTGTGATTATAACTTCAAATTGAGTCGTAGTTATTAAGAGTATGTATAATTTAGGAATTTGTCCTGTTTTAATTTAATTAATTATGCAGATTATTTATGCAAATTTGATTACAACAAAATACACAAAAAAAGGATTTGGGCTGATTAGATGTCTGCATGTGTCTGACAATTAATACTTGCAGGCATCTAATCAGTCAAGCATGGGGCATAAATGGGTAAATAGCAGGCGTACAACTTGTCTATAACAACAGAGAGCATAGAAAACGAGTATAATTAATTTCATATTTTTAATCCACCGGCAGCCCTGAGTCGGACTCTGCAGTTTCTAATGTCTACCTCTTCTGATGTTTGTTACAAAAACATAACTTTGAGCACGTCTATCCTTAGACATTTAAAAACTTTGTAAAATATGTATTATCCATTTGAATAAGTATTAAATCACACACTATTTATTCAAAATTTTAGCACATACAGGGACAGAAACAGACTGAGCAGAATTAATGACTTTTCCTTTATTCAATCCCACAAATCAGTGAGTATAGCTGAGGAAGTATGTCTGAACAAGGTTATCAAGCAATTTGTATAGACTTTCTGTCTAAAGGAATGGGCCAAAACTTCAATCTCTAATATTGATCTTGTTCAATATTCAGACAAATATAAATAAAGACATCATTAACAAAATATGCAGCTCAGAATTTCTTCCCCAATTAAAGAGAACTGAAAAAAAAAGCACCTACACTGAAGTTGGGAAACGTTGCTGGATTTGTGCACGATGTCTCGTCCACGGTTACTATCAGCTGTGCTGCCGTTTTTGAGGAGCAGCATTTTCTGAATTCCTTTTATTATAGACTGAATGATTAATGTTTTGTTCAAGCTCTTCGTTGAAACTAGTGAAAGAGCGGAAATGAAAGGAGCTGAAGGAGTTCAGAGATGCCAATAAACCTAAACGAAACAGGAGTGGTGGTGCTTATTGTCATCTAATGAGTTGGAACAATTGCTTTCAGCACAGCACACAAAGTTTACAGTGTTTGGAAAAATCATAAAAATTACATTATATAATTTTAATACTCAGTTAATTTTCACTTTTTTTTAATGTCAAAAAAATATCTGGTAAAACGATCTGATAGGTATAAAAAAAAAACATAATTACGTGCAAAATGTGAAAAAAAACAACAACAAAAACAAACAAAAAAAAAACAAACAAAACAAATTAAAGCCATTAATAGATGATTTGCCATAACCTGCTCTTTTGCCTTCTAAAATCTGAAATGTCACGTTCCAGCCAGTGAGCTATTTACATCTCAGAGGATGGCAGGAGGACTGACGGGTTGTGGATGAGAGCTATTGAATGACTCAAGTCAACAAAGCCCTCTGTGGAGACAGAAATCAATATGAATAATTCCTGTGTCCCTGTGGGTTGACATTTTGATTGTGACCTTAAACTGAAAGGTGGATTTAATCAAATGCACAAATAAAAAATAATAATGAAAAGCACACATCAACTCTTCTTAAGTATATTTCTTTATTTACACTGGTTTTCTTCTATTGCATGTAATTAGGGGCGCATCTTTTCATTTGTCCCTGAGACTCATGCTACCCTTATTTTTATTTTTTTCACATTACATTTACCAAGTACAATCTACTTTATTTTGTAAGCATTGCATACTTGTGAAACTAAAGAACAATGATAAAAGTTTTTAAAAATGAAATGCATCACAACTGCAAACACACAAGCACATAACCGTCTGCTCTGACAGCCCAACCAAATAGATTATTATTCAGAAAGAAGCCAGGAGGTGAATGCAAAGGGTAAAAATGGACATTATCATTTAAAAATTTCATTTTAGAAGAGTGTGCTACCTTATGTTGTCCCTCCTGAATACATTTGTGGTTGTACAGTGATAAAATGTGAAAAAGGTTTTAGAATTAGGCCTAAATGAAGCTTCTGGTTTGCTTACAGAAGAAAGAGTGGACCTGGGATGAGAGCAAGTTGATTGTAATGCAGGATCCAATTTACAGGTAAGATTACCTGAGTGTCTGCTAGCATAACGTTAAATTAAGCTCATCTAATAAGTGGAGTTTTTAAAAGCTTTTCCAAACAGCGGCAGTTCTTTTGTTTTCCTTCCCCAAAGGGATTTTATCTGAACTTGATTAAACATTTTGTGCTGGTTCAAAAATGTAGGCGTTTTCTCACACCTACCTTTTGACATTTTGGAGAAACAAAGATATGGTAGCTCTTTGATGTTCACTTTTACTGATCTCTTAGAACAATGTTTTATTGAAGCACTTAAGATTGTGGAGGAGATTGTACGCAACGCAATACATTTTGTGGGTGTGTGTTTTGACTAAGACACTGAAAAATACCACATCACTACAACATATAGAAATAATAAAAAAAAAAAAATACAAATATGAAAATGTTGAGAAAATGTGTTTAGCAAGCTCCTATTTGTTGCGGATAAACGTACTAAAACCTTTCATCTGATGGAACTCATTGACTGAAAATTGAAGCTTTTTTATTTACATTAGATTTTTCCACAATGTTTTAATTCTGTATTTCCTTTCCTTTGACTTATTTTCTCACTTCCAAATTTTTCTCTGCATGAGTTCTGCAATTTGTTGAATCTTTTTATCGGGATAAAGTCATATTTTGTCAGACATCTGACAGAAAACGGTTAGCCTTTCTCAGATGCCGTGTGTCTCACTTATGTAAACGGTTATTGCACAACTCCAACATTATCTGCAAGCTGCATATGAAATGAATGTTTGATTGAAAATGTTAAAATCTGTATTTAAAAGTTTGTGGAGGTGTTAAAGTTGCATTAACAACGCAGCCCATGTACAGAGTTCAGACTGATCGAGAGATAGATGAGCAGGTACACTTAGTGGAAACGTGTCATGAGAATTTAATTACAAGCGTGTTTATGTAGTAGGAGGGCATATCCATTAGCCTGACATGCCTGCAGGCTGTCCTCATAACTCAAGGCTATGGCTGTAGCCATAATCTTGAGTTAATTCAATTCATTTGCTGCAGGGGTGTTGACCTTTAAATCAGCTCTCTGTTGTCTGTCAATACACACAAGCATAAAGTTTCACTGTCCCAAGACGCAGTTTATGATGGACCTATGCTTATATATTTATATAAAAATGACTGATGGGTGTTTTAGCATGTCCAACTCAAAGACGTTGTGACCTTTCTAGTTTTGATGGAAGGACGGAAGTGTACGATTGAAGCAGTAAATACTGTTTATATTCCATAGAGATGAAAGAATAAAGTTGAAACCTGTTTGTGCCACACTTTAAATTCTGCATTCGCGCACACTGACACACCCCCTCCCAGCCGGTACAGCTCTGAAGCGCATCCGGGAGCCCGTTGGGGGTTGGGGCTTTTGGAAATGATTCTGTCAGAAAGATGGATTCAGCCCTGCTGTCTGAGTGAGCATCTCTGAGCTTGGGAGTTTTGTTTGGTTGGAGATGCTGTGACTTGCGCCACACATTTTTCTTTAATTTTTTTCCCCCTCTTTCACTATTACAGTAACAAAGTTCTCTAAAAAGAGGTGGACAAGTGCAGGGACAGAGAGAGTGAGGCGGCGTGTGATGGGTATGCCGTATCCATCAGTCACTGTTTCTTGTTAAAGTGAGTCTGACATGTCCTGAGATCTGTTTGAGTGAGTTACAGGATGATTGTCTCCACTATTCCCTTATTCTTTCAATATGGACCTCTAAAGTCATTCTTTAGTTGCTTGAAGACATTTACATATTTCCAAGGCTGACATGAGTTGGATTGTCTTTAGTTTGTCCAAGTTTAAAAAATTCTCTACAATGGAGTTTAATAACAACGGTCTTGACGGATGAATGAGTAGATTTGTATGGCCAGAGGGCACCATGAAGCCTGAATTGTCTGCTATTGCATTCATTTTTGTAACTGCAATTCCATAACAGGTTCATGATGACTTTGACCTCTTCCTGTCAAATTTATGTCATCACTTTAACCAGTTTGACTCATTTATTGCATATTAGCTTTCCTTTTTTTTTTTTTTTTTTTTTTTTTTTATTTGGATAAAACAAAAATGTTGTTGGGGGATTATTATTTTTTTTTT